TAAAATATGAAGTGTCTTGGCGACTACGATAGCAATTTACATGAAATCAGATGTATCGCCCTTTCTCAGAAAATGTACTAAAAAAGTTGTTATTACAATTTAAACAAACAACCACAACAAGTATGCATTAAATTTCGTGTTAACCGGATAAATCTGGGGATATGTAATACCCCGCTATAACGGCGACTCACAGAAATTAAATTTGTTTATTACATTTCAACATAGAATATCGCGATGTGTTTTATGTTGCTTACTTGAGTTAATTGATTGACCTTAAAAAGTGTATTTAATAAAAATTTAATTGACAACGAAGGTAATGGTAAGTATGTACAAATATTAATTTTGTAAAACAAAATATTTAAAAATTCAATAATATAGAATAAAAAAATAAGTTTTCGCAAAAGCATTTAAAATTTATGATTTTTTTTTTTTTAAGTTTGAGTAAGCTGAACAAATTTTGTTTAGCAAAAAATAAATACCAAAATTACTTCAAGGTGTTTAGATTTTAAAAAGCTTTTTGACTAATTTTGATTTTCAGACGACAACAGTGTAATTTAATATTTATGATTCTATTGGGTAGAAACTCTTCCTACCAATAATTATTAATACATTGGGGAGTTTGGACAAGTTTTCCAAACGAATTAGCTCTAATATCTAATATCTTGGATTGAGTCTCAAATCTTTTTACTGAAAATAAAAAGTATCGGTCCATATTTTGGCGGTAGGGTGAAAACATTTGACATTGACCCAATACTGGTCAAGAACTTTTGAATGCTCAGCACATGGCTCGGCCCAGCAGAAATTAACGTAATTTCTGATTTTTGATAAAATTTCATTTCAAATGTTGACAATTTTTATAGAAAAAAAAAACAGTTTTATATATTTTGCTAAACATTCATGCTGAACAATTTAAATCCATATTAAAAGTGGTGCTTCGGACCATAGTGTACAGTTATGAATGGAAATATGGAAATTTTAAACGGTTTTGTTGAGTAAAACATTTTTGTATAAATTCTGAACTAAATTTTGTAAACATAAATCATAAATGTGGTAATTTTTTAAATGCAAACTTTCTGCAACGTACCATGTAAAAAACTGAAAACAAATTCCCGTTATCTTTTACATCTTTACGAAAAAAAAAATTAAAAACATTTTAATAAATATTTGCTTTTTCACCCTATTTGATAAACATTTTGTGTATTTTAGGATAATTTTTAAACAAATTAACCAACGGCGAAACGCGTCGCATAATGGTGGGCACGTAGGTTCTTCTCCTGGCTTTCCTTTCATTGCAAAACTTAGATCATTAAGCTAGACTTGAAAGTGTATAAATAATCACTTACAAATTACTTTGAAATGATCACTGCCCTTACAAGGCAAAATTCAAATAATAAAAATTAATTCAAGCTGAGCACGGTTAGGGCTCGAACCTCGGAGCATCGGAGCAACACAAATGTTGCCAAGACCACTTAACGTTCTGAGCCATCAACACACTTCCAAAACGGTTGCGCAAAAACATGTGTATACCATGGAAGCAATTTTAGGTGTGTGGATTAATTATCCATCGCTACAACAAAAATCTGCTTTGAAAAGGACTGTTTCTAGAATGAAGACAAATGTCGAACTTTGGCAAATTTGAATTTAATTCGCATATGCAAGTTTCGCATCAGGGCGAAATAAATACAAGTTATCAACATACGACATTTGTAAAGCCACATAGCCCAATATGCCTGATGAGCCGCATAACCAACGGCGAAACGCGTCACATAATGGTGGGTACGTATGTTCTTCTCCTGGTTTTCCTTTTCATTGCATAACTTAGAACATTAAGCTCGACTCGAAAGAGTATAAATAATCACTTAAAAATTACTTTGAAATGATCACTGCCCTTACAAGGCAAAATTCAAATAACAAAAACAAATTGAAAATGTTATTGATGCATTTGAAATCAATATATTGGCATTTGCCTATTAAATAAGGTCTACCGAGTGGCGAATTCATGGTTTAGTCTTCTCTTGCTGTCAACATTTTAATCGCGAAATACCAACCAAAACCGGATAGTTCCATTCCAAACCCCAAAAGAATGTACCAATTTTACAAGTTTACAAGAATATTACAAGAATTGTGCACATATATCTTGGTTTGAATAAACTTTGATATTGGCCTTACTGGATAACCTAATATAATAAAAATAAAAAAAAAAAATTCAAATTAAATCGACATTTTTTAAAAGATATTTTCGCCACAACAACAACTTCTGACAGAAAATGTAGATACAAGGTTGTATATTTCCTCAAATTCGCCTTCTGGATGACCATGGATATAACCATGGTACAATTATGAAAGGTAACACCAAAACCCAGCTGATTTGATTCCAACAAATTATGTTTTTAAAAACCACCCAACAGGAAAAATGGGAACGGATACAATTCGAAATTATTCAATTTACTCAATCTGCCTGCTGGGAAAGTTTGAGGAAGAAAATCTTTCTTCATGGAATAACTCACAATTCAGTGCATTTTCATATGTGTTACACATATAAGTGGCAATGGCTCAATTGTAGGAAAGATGTAGAAGCGATAGAAATATACATTTAATGGATTTTCATTCATGTTTTTCAATTTCATTTTGAGGATTCAAAAATATAACATTTTCAAAATAAATATAATTTATTGATAATTTGTTGTTTATATTTTTCTGTCAAATAACGTTGACACTAGTATAACTTAAAACAACAAATTTCCTAGTGGTTGTTGTAACGTTTGTTGTACAACAACACTTGTTGTTACCTTCTATTATTATACCATGGGGTATAACATTCAGTGCATGGCCCAAAAATCAACCTAAAGACGAATTCATTCAAAAGTACAACTCTGCACAAGGTTTATTCATAAGGTTTACCGGCAGGGGAATTCATGCCTTAGTCTTCTCTTGCTGTCAACTTTTTCCTCGCGAAATACCAACCAGAACAGCATAAAAACTCCAAATATCTTTCGACAAACGTAATGATAGTAATATGCACAAATATTTTGTTTCGAATAAAAATATTTGTTGTTTACTAATTCATAATAATAAATTTGACAGTCAGTGAAGACTTTTAATTCGCCTCCAAGGCCTATATAAGGTCGGCCAGTAAGAACAGCTGATATAAAGTATGCTGTCATATCATATTTTGAAACTTATAAATACTTACAAAATTATGTTAGACGTCAAAACGAAAATATTAATATTCAATTCAATTTCAATTTATATTGTTTTTGTGAAGCACATATGGAATATTTCAAGTGTATAGAAGATTTTCAAGTAAATTATCCTACAAATTATAAATTGTGTTGTGTTTTGGCTATGTTTTTTATTTAAAGGCGAAAAAATGTTGGTCACCGCTCACATTTTTCGTAAGCAATTAACTTTTTTCCCATGATTGCAAATACATATATTTTCCATATTTAAGCATTTTTTTTTTTTTTTTTTTAATAAAAAAATCCATTTCGGCATTTTTGTGAATATATACCAAGGTTTATTAATAAGGTTAACGGGCAGGCGAATTCGAAATACCAACCAGGACAGGATAAAAACTCAAAATATTTTTCAATAAAATGCAATGATAGCAATGTGCACGTATATTTTGTTTTCGAATAAAAAATTTTTTGTTTATTCTCCAAACAATAAATTTGACAGTCCATGAAGACTTCGAATTCGCCTCCTTGTTAACCTTATGAATAAACCTTGATATATACTATGTTTTTATATTGAAATTCAAATCAAAACAACATAGTTTGACAAAATATGTAGATATCAGCTGTCCTTACTGGATGACCTATAATATTGACCTTGGTGAATGGAAACCAATTCAATATATGTTCGATCAGTACATATTCCAATAAAAACGCAGAAAACTATTATATTACTGTTGACAACATTTTTTAAATTCTGAAAAACATTACGTATTGCATCTAGAACTCCAAACATTGAATGTTGAACGTACATTCGATAATTGTGTTTGATCTGTACAAAATATTTTACCACCATGCCAACGTTGAATATTCCTGTAGTGCGCATCGGATTCAGAGTTATTTAAATTGTAGAAATATCTAAGCAATTTTCAATTTAGCAAACCTTCATTCGATAATGAATTCAATATTTTATTTAAAAAAAGTATATATAATAATGAAAAAGGAAACCAACCTTCATGTTTTTGAGTTACGGTAAATTTTGTCGTATTACATAAAGTTGTTTGTTACCACACTGAGATCAGCAATTATTCGATTAGTTTCAGTCAAGATATTAGACTTCAAATGGTTTGTTGTTGTTGTTGTTGTTGTTGAATAGCAAGATTGCATTTGTGTGTATATAAATGGTTGTAGTTGATATAGTAGCAAGCCATGATAATGATTTAGGTGATTGTGATTAGGGGTCAAGTTTTTGTTATGTTTCGTTAGTTCATTGAAAATGAAAATAAGTCCACAAGTTAGAACGAGAACAGAGAACAAAAATTACAATTATGGAAAAGAAGAAAAAAAGAAGAGTTAAACAAATGGTTATTTGGTTTTATAAGTCGTATTAATTTATTATTTCAGATTATAACAGCATGCAACAAATATTCTGTGTTAAAGGGGGCGTTTTTGAAAATTAGTTATAAACATACATATTTACAAATATCTCAAATGATTATCAAAGGGTAAAGATCCAAATAATAGTCGAGATAACAGAAAATACAAATTAAATAAATAATCATAGAAAACGAATAACAATAACAATATTATCATAAATACATTTCGTTATTATGGAAACTTAAGTATAACATAAGTACATGTATGTGTAGTTATGTACAACAATGTACACAACGGAAACAATTATTCTTTGGTATGCGTTGCAAATTTCAATGACTAGTACTGGCGGTTTGGTGTAGTATTAGAATCAATTGTAGAAATACGATGTTCAATAGTTTTTGATCATCTTATAAGTAAAGTAGTGTACGGAATGAATTGTTTTTGTTTGCGTTAATCACAGTTCCTGTAACTAGCAAATGTACTACGATTATTTGCCACAAACTTTATACTTACACGATTGATGGAGTTGCGACGTGGATCTCCCGAACACATGGTAGTAGAACCACCACCACCGCTTCCACTTCGATTTCGGCTTAAATCACTATCATCTATGCATATGTCCGAATCTGAGTCTGTACGCCGCAAATCACCATCCTATAGTTGTACGGATTCGTTTCGAATAACAATGGATAAATTATACAAAATGCAAATGATGTTTTGTGTTAGTAATACATTTATATTTTAAAATAAATTTATATACTATTTACTGTTAATGTGAATAATATACATATATATTATGGGTATTCATTGCAATAGATTAATATTTAAAAAACGTTGCATTATCAGTACTAAGACTTATTTATTATAGCAAATATAATGTGCAATTCTTTTGACAATGCAAGTGATATGCAATATATATATATACATATACTGGTGGCCAATACTAAAGAAACAAAAATTGCACAGATAATTAATGCCGTATACTTTGTCAAAAATAAACATATCGTCTTGGTTTTTTTCAGTTATAAATCGGGTACTTTATTCACTTAAAAAAAACCAAAGCATAAATGCAAAATTCATTTTGAAATAAATAATATTGTATGTAAAAGGAAATTGTTTCAATGTTTGCACTCTTCTGTGCAAAACAGATGAACTTTAAAATTTTAGTTACTTTTACCGTTACACCACCAATTTCGATTCGTATAGACATTTTTAAAAGGATTTTATTACAGAAATATGTGTCCTAATCCGATTTTGACTTACTGCAAAATAAATATATAAATATGGCTAAAAACAAATACATTACACCTATAAAACTGTAAATTATCAGTGATTATGAAAATAATTTATCACAGAAAATAATATCGGAGAAATCTTCCATGAATAAATCAGTGATTCCTTGTAATATAAGTCAGTTTTATCCACTATATCAGTAGTGACAGTTCAGCACGGATGAAGGCTGCAAAAAATTACCATAGCAGTAGAAAATACCCATTTAAGAATTCAATGGAATTGGTGAGAGAGTAATCGTTGGTTATAACCTCAGGAACAGAGCCTAGACGAGCTGTGGTAGCAGGTCTACATGCCCGGAAACCATCAAGAAATGCCCGGAAAGGCCAAATTTGGCTCTCAAAATCCCATATTAATTGGAATCCGATTCAGTGTCGAGATATTATGTTCTCGGATGAATTAAAGTTCAATTAAAGGCTGAGACACGAAAAAAAAAAATTACCGCGAGAAATAGTATATCCAAGGTGCAAAAAATAGTATATCCAAGGACCAAATGCGTCATAGATAGCAAAATCAAAAGAAATTTTCAAACTAACAAACAAAACCTCTTCTTTTTTTGGTTTTTAAAGGATTTATGTCGGTTACGTCCTTTTGACTTGATATTTTCTGAAACCAAAGGACGTAACTACAACACAATTGTAGTACAACAAAGTGAATAATAACACTTTCCTGGACCACGAAAATACCTTTGGTTTTTCTGGGTCACTTCGAAAATTAGTTTTATAACGGTAAATGTAGAGAAAAACGTGGTTTCATAGATTTTCAACTTGAAACCCAAATAACTTATTTTCTTTCTAACGGATTTATATTATTCTTTTTTCTTTAAAACAAGATATATATTTGGTTAATCGGTTGAGGATTGGCTGAGTTACAGTGGTTGAAATGTGAAAAAATACGCATAAAAAGACAAAATTTTTTCTTCGGACTGTACGACGAAATAATGATATCAAGCCGAATAAGTTTTATTATATTACGGGAAGAAAATTAAATAAGCTTTCGAAAATGTGAAAATGAATCGGTTAAAAAATGGATGACTTATACATATTTTTGGATTTTAACTTTTTAGTTCCTTATTTAGAAATATACTAAAATAAGGGAAGTATGCATCTATTCATAAAAAAATGTTTTCTTAAAACCCAACAATAACAAACATCATTTATGTTATTGATTTCATAAAGTAGAAATGTGTTTAATGTCCCTTATAAATGATTTAAAAAACCAGTAAGGAAAGTAGTAAAGTCGGACGGGGGAATGATCCATTTTCGAAGGACCATTGACACGGAATTGGATGAACTAAAAAGCAATTACGTCATTCTTTACTCAATTTTGTACGTTCTGCAAAATTTCGTGTCACTCTGACAAAAATTAAAAGTTTAGGGCATCATTTACTTAAAATCGGACGAACATATTAATGGAAAGTATATCTAAACCGATTTCCACGAAACTTGTTCAGATTAGTTTTTACTAATTTCAGCACGTTTTGTGCATGTCGGCCATATATAGGTGCTATATGAAAATCTGTACCGATTTGAACGAAACTTGCCACACGTTCAGTACGTTGTGAAAATTTTGTGTCAATCGGTTTAACTTTGGGTCTTTGGTGCACCATTTACATTAAATTTGACGAAAATATATATGGGAGATATTTCTAAATCTCAGCCTGTTTTCCTAAAACTTAAAATCGAAAGGTGTATAGGACTTTGGTGCACCATTTACATTAAATCGGACGAAAATATATATGGGAGCTATATCTAAATCTGAACCGGATTATAAATGCGAACTGTACTTTGTTTACAATTTTACATCAACAGACGGACATGCATAAATCGACTCAGAAAGTGATTCTATGCATATTCTCAAAGCGAACTATGGGTCTATCTCGTTTCCTTTTGCCTGTTACAAACATATGTACAAAGACATAATACCCTGTACCACAGTGTGGTCAAGGGTATAACAAAAATGTGTATAAGTCATCCATTTTTAACCAATTTTTTGATTTTTCTCAGTTTCGAAAGCTTCTTTAATTTTCTTCCCCGTAATATAATAAAACTTAAACGGCTTGATATCATTATTTCATCGTACAGTCCGAAGAAAAATACATTTTGTCTTTTTATGCGTATTTTTTCACATTTCAACCATTGTAACTCAGCCAATCCTCAACCGATTTACCAAATATTTATCTTGTTTGAAAGGAAAAATTCTACTCTTCGAAGGAATAATATAAATCCGTTAGAAAGAAAATAATTTATTCGGGTTTCAAATTGAAAATCTATGAAACCACATTTTTCTCGTAATATAAAATTTGTACAGCGTACCAAATTGAGTCCATAGCTCCACACATATTATCGTCAGATTTTGTGAAAATGGTGCATTAAAGCCCCTATATTTCTTTCGATTTGCACAAAATTTAGCATAGCTTACTGAACTGAGTATAGAATAATGTGTGTTAAGTTTCGTGAATATCGGTTCAGATTTAGACATAGTTCCCTTATATATTTTCGTCCGATTTTGTGTAAATAGTTCATAAAGCACCTATATTTCTTGCGATTTGCACGAAATTTTACATGGGGTACTGAATTGAGTCTAGAGTCATGTTTCGTGAAAATCTGTTCAGATTTCGATATAGCTCCCACATACAGTTTCCACCGATTTTATGTAAATGTTGCACTAAAGACTTAAATATTTCTCCGATAGCGATAGAACTTTGCATATAGTACTTTTCCACCCAGTTGGAAACAATATATATATATATATATATATATCCCATCCCTATTAAAAAAAAATAAGTACTGACAATATGGATTTTTTTAAATTTTAAATATATTATTCATCAATTTCAAGAGATTTTAAAATTTTCGGATTAGGATTTCTCGAAAATCTTGCATTATAGGTATCTTTAGTCTTTAGCAATATTACTGAAATAAACGTGAGCAATATATTATATTTCTAATATTTTAACCCACAATCGACACGCTGAATGGATCTTTTCCGTTCCTTTTACCAAAAATTGTTTAAAATAAATAAATAAAATGTTCCCCGCAATGTTTTATTAAATGTCTATAAATAAAACAAAATTTGGAATTCAAACCAAACGTCAAAAATCTTAAAAATACGAAAACTAATTTAAGGGTTTAAACCAGCGTTCGAAAATAAACATTATGGTACCGTTCCATAGTGTTCTGTACCGTACCAAGGTGGATAGGTACACTAAAATAACGTACTGTACCGGTACACAAACACTAAAAATATTTTTAGCGTTACTGTTCCGGAGCACAACAAAAATCTTAGCGTACCTGCTGCGGTACACTAAAAATAGTAGTGTACCGGCAGTGGTACACTAAAAATCGTAGTGTACCGACTGCGGTACATTAAAAATCGTTGTGTTCCACTGGACGGAACACTAAAAATCTTAGTGTTCCGGCAGTGGTATACCAAAAATCGTAGTGTTCCACTGGTCGGAACAATACAAATCGTAGCTTTCCACATACTTGAACTGTACTGGTAGAGTACCATACACGTCTGTTTTTTTTTTTTTTTTGAGTTAAAATGAGATCAAATTATAATAAAATAAAACTGAATATAAGTTTATTTGCAATTACAAAAGTGAAAATGTCCATTTGAAATAGGTATTTTGGCCAGTTTTTGTGACAAAATTGTACAGCTTAGGATAAAATTTTCATTAATTTACACAACGAACATGATTAATTATTACCTGCTTATTCATTAAAAGAAGTGTACAAATTACGCGGGTGTGAAAAACATATTCTTTATGATTTTTGCACAGGTAGTCTTATGCGTTACATTTTTCCGATCAGCGCAATCGATTATCAGCCAAAATGTAATCCAATGCAATTTTCAGTTGCGAGTTGGATCAGATTGAACTTTCATTAGACGATCTTTTTAATGTATATAATATTTATTAAATAAAATATTACTAATATTAAATAAAATATAAACAAATACAAATTTAAAAAGTTTTCTATTTATTAAATCTATTGAAAAAAATATAAATTTTATTCATACAAAAAATAAAATATAATAAATACATCTTTTTGTGTTCCGACAAATGGAACACTATTATTTTAATTGTTCCGCCAAGTGGAACACTACGATTTTTAGTGTTCCGACTGCGGTACGCTACGATTTTTTAATGTTCCGACCGCGGTACACTACGATTTTTAGTGCTCCGACCGCGGTACACTACAATTTCGTTGTGCTCCGGAACAGTAACACTAAAATATTTTTTAATGTTTGTGTACCGGAACACTAACGCTAAAATTTTTTTAGTGTTTGTGTTCCTGGTACGGTACACTACGATAGTGTACCGTTTTTTGCGAACACTGGTTTAAACTGATCTTATTGCG